AGGAGCAAACAGGGGAGGGGGAGGGGTTTGTGCGGGGAGAAGGGTGCAACAATGAATTAATAGAATCCCCCCCAAAAAAAGAATGACTCAAGATATAAGACGGTTCAGAGCTGTTGTTCGTAGTGTTGCTGTAAGCTGTACCCAACTCTTAACAACAATATGTTGATATGAATAGCATAATAATATTCTTAAATCATATTAAAAATAAAAAGGTAAATAATATTACCCTCATTATAAAATTATATTATCCTCATTATAAAATGAGGTAATTGAGGTCTAACATAATGGCATTCATTATTCAAGACACAACTCACATCCTGACATCATCATTAGGAGAACAGTGTGTCAGTTACTGTTTCCTGATCTGTGAAATGGAAATGACACTGGTCCTGTATTAGTTTCTTAGGACTGCTCTCCTCAAATACCACAAAGCAAATAGCTTTAAGGAGCAGAAATGTCTTGCTTCACAGGTGTGGAGACTAGAAGCCTGAGTTCAAGGCACAGACAAGGCTGCTCTCTCTCTGATGGCTCTGGGGGAAGATCTTTCCGTGTCTCCATCAGCTTCTGGCAGCCCACTGTCTTGGCATTCATTGACTTGTAGACAGATCCTCACATACTCGCACCTCCTGTGTGTGTTTCTCTTTCCATGTTTGCTGTTCCCTTTTGTAGGACACCACTCAGAAGACCCTGGGATAGGGACCCCCCTACTCAAGTATGCTTTCTTTTTTACCCTAACTGATAACAATAACAGCAACAAAACCCTAACTCATTGCCAGCCAGTCATTTATACCACGTAAGACCCTAGAGGGCAGAGTAGAACCTCCCTATATAGTTACAAAGGCTATAAACTTTACATAGCTGATTACTACAACTTTCTCGCAAGGAGCACCTTGTGAGTACAAACTGCTGACCTTTTGAAAAATAGCCAACTAGAGAGCTCTGGTGGCCTAATGACAAGAAACTGCAATACAATCTCAAAGGCACGGTTGCTAAAGAGGAATGATGTCAGTCTAGAGATTAAGGTGCAGCTGACACAAGCCATGACCTTCTCAATTGCTTGCTATGCATCTGAAAGCTGGATAACAATAGGATGACAGAAGACAAAACAATGCCTTTGAGCTGTGGTGCTAGAAAAGAGTATTGTCCATACCATGGACTGACAAGAGAACAAACAAGTCTGTCCTAGAGAGGGTGAAAGCAGGTTGCTCCATCGAGGCAAGGATTTTGAAACTCCATCTCACATGCATTAGGTATGTTGGTTATGCCAGGGGGGAATAGTCCTTGGAGAAGGACATCATGCTTGGAAGGGTTGAGGGTCAGAGCAAGAGAGGAAGACCTTGGGTGTGGTGGATTGACACAGTGACTGTGACTATGGGATCAAGTGTATCAGAGAGAGTAACATTGACTCAGGACAGAGCAAACTTCAGAGCCAGTATTCATAGGATCACCATGATTCGTAATTGACTTGATGGCATTACATAACAACATCATCACCATGACTAAAGGAAACTGTGATGAGTTTGTAGTAGACAAAGGTATAAGATCTGGAGATGTAGTCTTGGAAAATGATGTCCTGACATAGAGTAGAAGCAAAATAAATTCTGTTCGATAAAAGAAGTACATGAGTGCATTATGTCTAAATATTCTTTATGTTCTCTATTTTTAAGACAAGGAAAGAATCTCCATTTTCTTACACCAATATAGCAATATTCCCTTTCTCTTCAGGATTTAAGAGACCGCCTGTGGGACATTTGTGACACTCGGAAGGTAGAAGCAGAGCAGGAGCGTATTGACATCATTAAAGAGAGCTGGTTGCAGGACTCCATCGGAATAATGGTGAACCATTTCTTCTCTTTGATGCAGGTAAGACCAGCAGGTCATGAGAATGCAGTCTTCTCCCTGGCACAGTTTCCCCATGTAACCATTCCTGTGGCAATGTTGGTCTCCAGGAAACATTGTGTTCATTGCATTCTGCCAGGTATGAGCTACAGCTTGCCATGGAGGTTCATGGGAATAAATAACAAGCTAGGTGTGTAGTAAGTAACTGCTCTCCAAATCTGCATTCAGATGGTCAAGGGACATGGTGAGGGACAGTGGAGATATATTCACCATTACTGAGTTATTCTTCTAGTTAGCCTAAGACAACACCCAAAGACAATGAAAACCTTAAGTATATTTAAACACACCAAATCTCTAGTTACCAGAACCAAAACTTTTGTGTCTGTTGGAGAAAGCAGGCTATTTATCAAAAGGACCTCATTGTCCTTTCTTTGTCATCATGTCTGCATTAATATTTTTGTCTTTAGATAATAGCAGTGAGTATGTTGTTGCTGTTATGTGCCATCGCTGACCCACCAATATAAATCACACAGGGGATTACTCATCATTCTCCCTCACAGCAGCTGGTGGATTCGAAACACCTGCCTTTGGGTTGATAAAACAACTTCTTTCCACTAGGCCAACAGAGCTCCCTAGCAGGGAACATGGAGAAGGTACATTTCTAGTCTTCAGCTGACTGTACAAAACTTGTACGACAAAATACAATTAGGAAATGAGCATATTTAGCTGCCAATTCAAAGAGCTGTGCCAATTAAGTGTTTAATAAAGGTGTTATTAAAAAAATGACCAATTTAATATTCAGCAGAGAAGGACTACAAAAGAGGGGTTGAATGAAATGGAGAAAGTGAAGAGTGCTGTTACATTACGTGGATTGTAATTAATGTCACAAAACAAAATGTGTGTAAATTATTGAATGATAAGCCAACTTGCTCTGTTAACTGTCCACTGAAACATAAAGGGGAAAGAATTGACCAAGAAATGCTGCTACTTTAAGCATTCAAAGAATAAGCTGTGGTGTAAGGGTAGGTCGAGCCATGGAAGACAAAAAGTCATCAGAAACCTGGGAATAGGACTAGTCACACTGACTCCTAGCTCTTTGGTCTAAAAGGGAAGTTTAAGAAAATCACTATCTCAAGACAAGGAAAAACTACTCAGGGATGTTAGGAGTCTGGATTGGGACAAAAATGTACAATCAAAATAAGTATACCTAAACCGAGCTAGTGGCTTAGTGGTACTATGTTGTGCTGCCAACACAAAGGCACATGGTTCAAATCTACCAGCTGCTCCATAGGCATTAGATGGGCAGTCTCCTCACAGGCAATTTAAAGCCTCTGGAAACCCACTGGAGGGTCATCTTGGAGTCACTTCCAACACAACAGCACTTAGCAACAAACCAGAAGCTGAAGCTCAGGCACAACTAAGAGAACAAGCAGATCCACAAGGCCAGGCTGGGTCAAAGAACAGCAGTGAGAGGCTCAAGCAGCCTAACCCAGCCTCAGCAGCACCGCTGGGTCACCACTGTTGGCAGGAAATAATTGAATGTTGGGAGCAAGTGTGGCACAAACTGATGGGTTTGACAGCAAAAAGATAAACCACTCAAAATATGGGAGGGTGGGGGAAGAACAGGTACTTCTCTAGAGAATCTATATGCATAGCTGACAAGCCATACAAGATCTTCAATATCATTAGGATAGCTGTCATTGCTGTTGTTGTTGTTATGTTCCATCAAGTCACTTGCGACTCATAGCGACCCTATGTACAACAGCCCTAAACTCTGCTCTGTCCTGTGCCAATCGCACTGTCTCTGACACTCCCATTCCAATTATCCCAGTCACTGAATCAATCCACCTCATAGAGGGCCTTCCCCTCCTGCGCTGTCCCTACACCCGCCCTAGCATGATGTCCTTCTCCAAGGACTGGTCTCTTCTCACAACATGTCCAAAGTATGTTAGATGGAGCCTCAGAATCCTTGCCTCCAAGGAGCCACCTGGTTTAACCCTTTCCAGGACAAATCTGTTTTCCTAGCAGTCCATGGTATTCTCAATACTCTTCTCCAGCACCACAGCTCAAAGGCATCAATTCTCCTTCTATCCTCCTTGGTCATTGTCCAACTCTCTGATGCATAACAAGTGATTTCCTGGCTACTGGTGCCAAGAGTGTTGACTGTGGAGCCAAGCAAACTAAAGCTGTGTACAATCTCAATCTCTTCACCATCCATCTTGATGCTGCCAATTGGTCCAGTGGTGAGAATCTTTGTCTTCTTGACATTGAGCCTCAGTCCATATTGGAGGCTGCAGTCCTTGACCCTCTGCAGCAGGTGCTTCAGGTCCTCTTCAGTTACAGCAAGAAGGGTTGTGTCATCTGCATAACACAGATTGTTGATAAATTGTCCACCAATCTTGACCCCACATTTCTCCTCATAGAGCCCAGCCTCCCGGATAATCTGTTCTGCATATAGGTTGAAAAGGTATGGAGATAGGATGCATCCCTGGCGTACGTTCTTCCCAATTTTGAACCATGCAGTGTTCCCTTGCTCTGTTCTGACGACTGCCTCCTGGTTCAAGTATAGGTTTCACATTAGCACAATCAAGTGTTCTGGGAGTCCCATTCTTCTCAGAGTCAGCCACAGTTTGTTATGATCCACACAGTCAATTTCCTTTGCATAGTCAATGAAACACAGATAGACATTCCTCTGGTATTCTCTGCTTTCAGCCAAGATCCATCTAACATCAGCTACAATATCCTTAGTACCACGACCCCTTCTAAACCCAGCCTGGACTTCTGGAAGTTCTTTGCTGATGTGCTGTTCCAGTCGTTTTTGGATAATCTTCAGTAAAATCTTGCTTGCATGTGAAATCAGTGAGATTGTTCTATAGTTTCCACACTCTGTTGGGTCACCTTTCTTTGGGATAGGAACAAATATAGATCTCTTCCAGTCAGTTGGCCAAGTCAGGCTGTCATTAGGAAAACATAAAATGAGTGTTGGCAAGGATGTGCAAAAACTGAAACCCTTGAGCATTGCTGAAGGAAATGTAAAATGCTACTGAAAGTAGTTTGACCAATGGCTCAAAAATGACAAAAGAATTGTATGCAGTCAGCGATTCCACCTCTAGGCTTCTACCCTCCCCCACAAAGCAGAAAACTAGAGTTCAGGCAAAGACTCAGATTAATATTCAGATTGTTGGTTGCTGGGGTCTAGAGGGAGGGACCAGAAGGGAAGAAAGTGCCAAATAGGCATGGGTTTCCTTTTGAAGATGAAGTATTTTAGATTTGGATAAAGATGGTCATTGCATGATATTGGTGATGTCTGAATACTACTGAAGTGTTTATTTGAAAGTGGCTAAGTTAGGTTATGTGACTTTTACCATTAAAGTGGAAAATAGAGCAGAAAAAGCTGAAGTTCAATAGAAAAGGCTCCAGTCATGAGAATTTTGATAAATTATTCTCAGGACTTTTAGCAATATGTACTTTCAGAAATAGGCCATTATGTCTCAGAAATAACCTTACTTTCAAGACCTGATCCTGAGAAACTGTCTGTGTGGGATTATTCAGTAAGCAAGATTTAAAAAACCAGACAAATGAAAATCTCATTTATTTTGCGTTAGAATCAACTTATAGATGTGTTCAGAGGCTGAAATTTAAGAGGAGATTGTCTGTCTTTCTCCTGAGGAGCAGCTGGTGGATCCAAACCACCTGTCTTTGGGTTGGCAGTGCAACTTCTTACCCACGAGGCCACCAGAGCTCCTGTGAGCAATATCAGCATGCCTTAGGGAGCTCTAGTGTCCTAGTGACAAGAAGTGATGCTGCAATCCCAAAGGCACACGGTTCAAGACCACCAGCTGCATTGTGGGAGAAGGATGGGCAGTCTCCTCCGGTGTGATTAACTGCCGCTGAAAACCCACCACAGGGTCAGCTGTGTGTTGGTTCTGCCTCAATGGAACACAACAACAACAGTGGTAAGGAGTTGTGCTACCAACTCAAAGGCACATGGTTCAAATCGACCAGTTGCTCCATGGGAGAAAGATGGACAATCTCCTCTTACAGCCTCTGAAAACTCACTCGAGGGTCAGTGAAGAGTCAGTTCCAACTCAACGATACATAACAACATCTGATCTACAGTGAACAGTTGCACTTTTTTTTTTTAATCACATCAAAGCTTCTCCTTCTCGGTATGGCATCTGCCCCTCTCCCAAACCTACAGCAAATTCCCCAGAATGCAAGCCTGTTTTCAATTCACAGCCCCTGATAAGGATGGAGGACCCACGAAACAAGGCAGGCACAGGTTTCCTTACATTTACCTGCCAACCTACAGTAGATAGTTTCAAACATTTTTCACATCAAAGGTGTATTAAAGCCCGTGTGAAATTGTCCACTACAGACCAGGGAATAAGCACAAGGAAGCCTGTGCCTTCCTGTGATTGCTGAGTTTTCTGTTCCTGGAAGCTGTACTGAAGTCTAACTAGGAAAAGACAAAGTACAGGGAGCAGGATTGGACAAATGCTACCCTTTATTAAGTTGCTTCTGTGTCCATGGGCATGCCAGACATTGTTTCACGGACTTGGTATGTAGGAATATACTAAACTTATGTTTCTCTGAAACCCTATGCTGTGAATTCCACTGTGATTCTCCTCTGAGAGGCAAGTTTTGACAATTAGCCAATCACACAGCTAGTGAATGGCAGAGCTGGGATTTGAACTGAGGAAGGATGATCTCAGAGCTGATAATCCTAATCACGGCTTGATCAACAACTTTATTCAAATGATTGAAGACTTGCCATGTAGAACAGGAGAGAATCTTATTCTAAACTCTTTAATCATACCCTGATGACAATTAGAAGAGGATAATTTTCAAGTCTGTGGTGTTGGACAAGAGCACTGAACATCCTATGGGTGGCCAGGAGAACAAATATGTCTTGGAGAGGGTGCAGCCAGCATGCTCTTTGGAAGCCAGAATGATAAGGCTTTGTCTCATATACTTTGGGCATGTTGCTAGAAGGAGCTATTCCTTGGAGAAGGACATGATGC